GAAAAGAGGAAAAAGGATTAATGCTTTGGAAAGAGAAATAAAAGTAGATTTCTGGGCAATGTGAAGCTGAGAGTTGTTCAATCTTGTCAGGTTCTGAAGGTATCTCCAGATCCAGCTTTCAAAGAAAACTGGGACAATGACAATGGAACAGCTAAAAATAGATCATAATTATAGCAAAGAAAGCCACAGCCAGCATAAACCTGGCCATTGTTATTGTTGAAGTTGTGGAATTGTTGCTATCAATTACTCTTGTCATTAGCGGCTTCTTGATACGATCTTCTGTGGTGAGGATAGCTTTTCGAGCTCCATGCCACTTTCCAGGGCCCTGTAGCCGATACTGGATTGGAGTACATGGTCCCCAAAATAACTGTAATGCTAATTTGGGGTCAGTGAAGGCCAGGGACAGCAGATTGGGCCTGACGCCCACCAGATCAGCAAGCTCATCCATGGTATCTATATAGTCTCCCTGAATAGTATGGCGTTGGCTGTCCACATACCTGAAGCAGAGAAGACAGAAACCATGCCTATTAACAATTCAGTCAATCCATCAATTAATCAATGCTTCCTATCTGATCTTGGCTCAATATTGAGCTAGGAGCTGTAGAAAATAGTGAAGAAAGACACTGTCTCTATCCTTAATGGCCTTATAGTCCACTGGACTAGATAAGATAGATACACATGAAACAGAAGAATGTTAAGACTTTAGGTAAATCATGTGGTATTAGACTCGTAAATAGAAATGTAGAAGAGGGTAGGTAAAATCGAGCTATGATAAGTCGTTGAAGGATGTGGAAGAAATAGATAAGCTGAGAACAAAGAGGAAAGTATTACAAGTCAATATATATAATGTAGAATATTTATTGTAGAAGTTTGGCAGTGAAAGGAAGGAGGAAAATAGGAGAGCATCTAGAAAGGGTATCAGGGTTAAATAAAAAATGTCGTTCTCCTTGCAGAAGGGAGAGTTATGCTGGTATAATCAATTAAAGAAAACCACGTCTTTGGGCATGGGATGATTGTGCCTCTGACTTTTCCACAAAAATTTAGGAACTTCATCAACATCAACTTTGTTCAAATAAAGATCACCAAGTGAATAAGCACAAGTTCTGAAATTCAGATTGCTAAATGTGCCCACCCAAGCACTAAAATACTGGCGGATGGTACCACCTTCCCAGATCCTGTAGATTACTCATACCAAGAGCCACTGTGACCTGAGTACGCTGTCACATGACAGCCAGCAAAGTGGCCTCTGCAGATTTGTAAATCTACCTACAGATTTGTAATTTAACCATATCTACCTCTCATTAATTCATCGCTGCCCTTCCTTCCTCTGGCAGCTCTAACAGCTCTTCAAGTAATCCTTGCCAAAATAATATGGCTGTTTTTCTCTCCGTGTGATTTTTCCTACTTGACTTTTCTTTTAGGCCCTAAACATAGAATTTTCTTAAGCTTTTCTCTCCTTTCCCATCCATCTTCAAACCACTTGGTGGTATTTCTCTATTCTATTGTCACAAACTACTATTTCCTTTTCCTTCAAAATATAATCTAAATCCTTAAACAGACACGAGGACAATAAATACAATACAACATTGCTCTTATTAAGAAAGAAGTGGGAAAAAATAACCACTTATCTTCCTAGGAGAATTCTTACCTTTTGGCCATATCCTCTCGAACCTTAGCTATTTCTTTTATCATTTCATTTTGTGAGGGCAATGTCTTTATCCCTAAAGAGAAAAATCAAAATTTTAAGTGTAAAATTAAAATTACCTCAGTATGAACACTAACCCTATTAACAATTACCATGCTATGGAAAATTCAAAGGAATACAGGCTAGTTGTCTGTACCAAGGAGGTTACACCTTCACTTCATCTCCTTAGCCTACCACCACCAGAATATAATCATATTAACCTCAGTAGTTTACTCTTTTCTACTTTGTCTTTGGAAGATATTTCTCCTAATCTGCTTTCCAACCAATACCTGCCTCCTCCCTAACATAGTCTTTCAATTGGGAAATGAAATATGGACATGAGGAAATGATAAATGGCCTTAAAATTATACGGGAAATGAGGTACAAAGTAAAAGGGCGGGGGGAATATGGGAAACACACCTGTACTTGTACTCTTATTAACAAAGAGGCTTTATACCACAGGGAGAAGGAAGTAAAAGTAAACTCTCAGTCCTGTTGTATGCCTACAGTTCCATGGAAGATAAGCCTTACCTTCTAAATTTTTTATTTGCTGAGAGTGAGGGGTAAGGTCAAGGGCAACTCATAATACACAATCTTAACAGATAAATTTAAGCACCAATGAACAGTTCCAGTAGCAGGAATTTAACACCAAGGACATGGCTAGACAAAGGTAGAATAGTATTTAAGTTGACATAGACAACTCTCAATTTAAGTGATTAGCTTTATACCTGGGTTTACAGGCACTATGCCATGTAGAAAACTTTAGCCACACCCAACTCTAAAGTGTTACTCCACAGAATTCTGGAACGTGAAATTTTAGAATGGGAATATATCTTACCTAATACAATCCTTCTCTCTACAAATACTCTCAAGGGGTTATCTCATTCCTCCTTAAATATCTCTGGTGATGGGGATCTCATCACCTGAGGAGATGATTTAATTGTTTGGCTGCTCTACTTGCTGGAACATTATTCTTTTCATTGACCCCAGAACCTGGCTCCATGCAACTGGCACCAGTGGACTTAGCTCTGCCTTCTAGGGCCAAGGAGTCTAGTGTTAACAAATGACAGCGTTTGAACCATTTTAGAACAACTGTCATAACTTCTTTAAGTCTTTTCATTATCAGCCTTAAAGCCTTAACATTTCCCCATATAACAGGTTTCACATTTTCTGCCACATTGGTTACCCTTCTCTGGGCACATTCTAGTAACTCTCCTGGTGTGTCCCTCTTAAAACATGAGACTCAAATTCAACACTCAAGAAATAGCCTTTTGTGTTTTGCCATGTGTTCTTTTCATTTTAGCCTTGAGAATTATTACGTATGTTAATAACTCAATGAGGGATCACTGAAATGCTTCAGTTGAAGTTAATCACAGGTCTTAAGATGCTCATGAAACACAGTTTGAGAGTTGATTTCCAAATTATGTCTCATAGAACCACCGTAATTTTTACTTCTCTTAAGTAGCAACATTATGGAGAAGGAGGTCATTTCTTGCCTGTGACATAGCCAATTCATCCAAAAAACAAAACAAAACAAAAACCCAACCAAACAAAAAATCACTATAAATTAGATAGGTAGATAGATAGGAATCTATAAAGATGTGTACTGTATCCGGTGGTGCAGTTCTTAATTCATTGATACAGTTGTTGCAGTGTTTCCTCGTTCAGGCACATGTCATTTTTACCATATGTATCGCCCTCCTTCCTATCTTGCTCCTCCTCTTATATTACCAGTTTACATCAATGGCCACAGCCCCTGAGCAGATTCTTTTTCTCGCTTTCATCTCCAACATACATTCCATCCAACTCTTTTCAAATTCACCAATGAAATTTCATTCAAATTTGTCTCCTTGTATTCCTTTACCTTAGTTTAAAGCCCTCATTACGCCTTTCTTGGACTTTTGTCACAGGCTCGCAACTGACTTATTTCCCATTTCATTTCCCTCTAACACATGTTCTGAATTACAAATCTGATTTGACTCTCCCTCTGCCAGTTAATCCTTCAATTGTTTTCTATTGCATACGTTGAATGTAAACTTCTTGCATGGCACCTAAGGGTTTTTCTTGGTTTTACCTCTATGAATATCTCCAGCTTCATTTTCTTTAATTCCTATAATACTTTATTCTCCAGAATTCTGAACTCCTTATAGTTCTCAGGACTTGGTTTATTTTGTCATTTTCTCTAACTTTGCATAAATATTACTAATTGTTCTCTTCTCTGGTCAAGATGGTCAAGATGGCCTTGTCCTTTTAGTAAACTCTTCTTTTTTACAGTGTATTTGCAGTTGTAGGGAGAATTGGGTACTTATTCCTTTCTGCTCCCATAGCCAGCTCCTCTACATTGTTATTGGACCCTTGTTTAGGACATAGTAAATACCTGCTGAATGAACACATTAAATGTCTGTTTACTTGTCTACCTTGCTTGACTCTGCCATAAAGATAGGAATTTTCTGTTTGGTCATATTTGCATCTCCAGCACCTAGCAGAGGGTCTGGCATATACTAAGAGGCCAGTAAATGTTAGCTGAACATGCTGTTGAAGAACAGTGTGGAACTGAAATTCAGAGATTTCCTAAGTGTTCCAAGACAAGGTTCAAACGGGGTGAGCCTGAATTGTAACTGTGTGGAACTAAGTCGTTCTGTCGGCTCTCAGGCCTATGGCAGATTGTATTTATGTAATCCTGGCTAGTCCCTGCATGTTTAATGTAAAGATAATGTTACAAGAGAAGGAGGTGTGGCTGCCATTCTGCTCTTTCAGTCCAGTCCAGGCTTTACCATGACTGGAAATTGAGAAGGTAGTTCATAAGCTGAGATCCTCAGATAAGAACTTTCTACTGTAGAGTTTAGAAAACCTCTGAAACTAAACTTGCATTCACTGAATAATGATGTATTAGCTACCTCCCATGTGCTAGGCACTGGTCTAGACTTGGAAGACAAAGGCAAATAAACATGATTCTTTTATTTAAAGAGGTTTCAATATACTACAAAGAGAGGGAGGAAATAAACAGGCTTTTTCCACACAAATAACGAGTAAAGGGGAGGCGTATCAGGCAGAGAGAACAACAGAAGCAAAGGCATAAGGTACAAGAGTACCTGCTGTGTTTGCTGCATAGTGGGTAAGTCATTCAGTGCATCTAGAAGATTGTAGGATGGATGGTAAAGACTAGTGAAAGATCGGCCTGAGAAAGCAGCCTGTATGCAAGTTGTGGAGGAATGTGAATGCCATGCTATGACATAATGCTTCCTTGTGATCCAGAGAATTGGTATCATTTCATACGGTTTTCAAGGGAAGAAAGTTACTAAATGAAAGTGGAACACTTGCAAGGGCTCTTGAGAGGGCTACAAATGAGACAAAAGAAAACTAGATTTCTGTCAAGGCAAGCAAGTGGGTTCAGTGTTCTATAAAAGGGTGGAATATTTTCTTGACAAGAGAATAATAATTCTAGAGGACAAAGGAAGTAGGGAAATGTGGCTTTTTGGGTAAAGGACAGGCCACGGAAGAGGACAGGCTGAGTTGGTTGGGTGTGAAAGAATGGGAGAAACTAGCTGATTCTAAGGTCTTAAAATTGGCACAGTGAAAGCAGAATTCAAAGATGAGAAAGCAAGGATTTGGTAAGCAGAGAGTAGAACAAAAATCTCAGGGTTCCTTTTGGAAACTTGATAAAGTTATAGGGATTCTCTGATGATTCCTTCCTTCAAAGTGTTAGAAGAAAGCTAGAGGGATTAGCATTAAGATTTGGTAGCAGAGGAAACTGGGCTTTTTGTGCATTTCCCCTAAGATCCCCTAATCCCATAGCCATAATGCGGAATCTTCCAAATACTCATTTTCCCTAATCCTCTCAATGGTTCACTTGGTCCTGGAAAAGAGTCTCAGTTGTTCAAAGTGTACAAGATGCTGTGGCTTATTTTAATGCAACTTTTTCCTCTTATTTAATTGACCCAATTAAAAGATTCACTTTATATGACTGGAATTAAGCCAACTTAACAGGTTACTTGCATTGGATTGCTGGTCCAGTGCTCAAGGAGTACATGATCTACTGGATAGAATTAACAGTAATTAAGAAATGGGCTTCCATGGTAGCGCAGTGGTTGAGAGTCCGCCTGCTGATGCAGGGGACACGGGTTCGTGCCCCGGTCCGGGAAGATCCCACATGCAGCGGAGTGGCTGGGCCCGTGAGCCACGGCTGCTGGGCCTGCGCGTCCGGAGCCTGTGCTCCGCATTGGGAGAGGCCGTAGCAGTGAGAGGCCCGCGTATCGAAGAAAAAAAAAAAAAAAAAAAAAAAAAAAAAAAAAAAAGGAAAAAGTTATAAAACAAAAAAAAGAAAGGGGCTAATGCTCAAGGAGTACATGATCTACTGGATAGAATTAACAGTAATTAAGAAATGGGCTTCCATGGTAGCGCAGTGGTTGAGAGTCCGCCTGCTGATGCAGGGGACACGGGTTCGTGCCCCGGTCCGGGAAGATCCCACATGCAGCGGAGTGGCTGGGCCCGTGAGCCACGGCTGCTGGGCCTGCGCGTCCGGAGCCTGTGCTCCGCATTGGGAGAGGCCGTAGCAGTGAGAGGCCCGCGTATCGAAGAAAAAAAAAAAAAAAAGAAATGAAGGAACTTTGGGACTTCCCTGGCAGTCCGGTGGTTAAGACTCCATGCTTCCACTGCAGGGGGTGTGGGTTCAATCCCTGGTTGGAGAACTATGATTCCCACATGCCCCATTGCACAGCCAAAAAGTTAAAAAAAAAAAAAAAGAAATGAAAGAACTTTGGGGAAATTTGGAAAAGTTTTTTATCTATCAACTCTAACATCATTACTTCTTTTTTCTCTGCTACCATGAGGATCTTCACTAGGGAAGAAGAATCTGTAATTTCAATAAGAACTCTTTAAAAACATATTTATTTATTTACTTGGCTGTGCCAGGTCTTAGATGTGGCACACAGAATCCTTTTTGCAGCATGCTGGATCTTTAGTTGCGGCATGTGGGATCTAGTTCCCTGACCAGGGATCAAACCCAGGCCCCCTGCATTGGGGATGTGGAGTCTTAGCCACTGGACCACCAGGGAAGTCCCTCAACAAGAACTTTGAATAGTTTTAATTAAACATTAGTAATTAGTACAAAGAACTTCTTTGTTAGAAGGAACCTTAAAAGTCATTTGATTTCTCCCTATTCTGAGGCTTGAATCTCCTCCATACTGGCCTGGCCAAAGTTTATTTTTAATGTTAAGCTAATATTGTGCAAACCCTCAAAATTTCACTCCTTGGTTCTGGTTCAACCCTTTGAAGTGATACTAAGCAAATATGTAAAACCTTCTGCCATGGGGCATCTCTTCAGGTATCTGAAGGGAATTTCCATATCTCCCCTAAATCTTATCCTCTCCGGCCACACCTCTCCAGCTCCTTTAGTTGTACTTCAAATGGCACATTTTCAAACCCCTTAACCACTCTTGTCTCTCTCCTTTTAATGTACTCCAGATTCATTTTTAAAATGTCTGTGGGTGTGGTCTCACCAGTTCAGGGAAGAACAGTTGTAAATTCCAGGACATTATAGTTTTTTAATGATGCCAGATATAGTTAAGTCTTTTGGAAGCCACATCATTCTGCTGATTCATATTGAGCCTGCTATCCCAAACCCCAAAGTTTTTTCCCATGTTCTCCTAGCCTAAACTTTCTGAAAGAGGGAATATAAAGGGGGGAAGGTAAGACTTTGAGTGGCTGAATCTTCTTCATTCTGGACTAGTCTTTAACCAGCTCTTAATTTTTGTCTACAATGAAATCACAGCACTTCTATATGTGACTTTTTCTAACTATAATGAAAGAAGATTAAATTCTTTTGCTTCACAAATATGTATCAGTTGTCTGAAATCTAGATGAGTGGATTTTAATCTGGAATGCACATTGGAATCACCTGGGGAACATTTTCTCAGCAATCTTATGTCAGTCCCACACCAGACTTATTAAATAAACACCATCAGGAAAAGCATGTCTGTTTTGGGGAAACTTCCTAGGAGATTCTGCTATATGTCCATGATTATAAGTTACTACTTTACATTCCCTCAAAAATTAATTTTTGAGCACTAATTTTGTGCCTGGCACTGTTACAATCATACATACTGTCTCAGCTATTTATAAGCAAGAACATAAACATAATTAAACAAACCACTAAGTAATTAGGTAGTCATCTTTCATGGTCACTTACCTTTAAATACTTGAGTGACCCAGCGTCCTTGGAGCTCTGAAATGGGCATAATGGCACCCAAGGGCTGGATCAAGCCTATGATTGCAAGAGTTGGCTTTTCTAGGTTAGGAGGGAAGACCTTTTTATACAGAGATATCTTGTTTTTGACTACTTTGACAGAATCTTCAACAAAAGGAAAGGCAAAGCTATAGCCTGTAGCAAAGATAACAGCATCAATGTCATCCTCCCTGGAGCCATCCTCAAATATGGCCGCTGTTTCTGTGAATTCCTTCACATTTGTTTTCACCTTCACCAAGCCAGAAATTATACAGTTTGGCAGATCATCATTTATGGTTGGTTGCTGACTCAGAGCTCTGTGAAAGATGATAAAGAAGGAAAAACGAGAGAGATCATAAGAGAGAAAGATCATTGCCATGTAAATTCTATTGTGATTGAGGTGGTTAATCAATATGCCAAATAGTCTCCCTTTATTCATGAAATTTGGGAAAGGTCTAAGGTATACCAGCTTGATAAAGATAAGGATCTCAGAGTAAAAGTTGGACCCTGGATGGCATTGAAAGAGAAGCTGTTGGAGAAGTGAGAGAAGGATTGTTTAATTTGAAGAGTACATGCATGGTTTCTCAAGGACTAATAATGCTCTCAGTGATATGATAAGGCCACAGTCTAGTAGCTTCTACCCATATGTCAAGAAATCTGCAGAACTGGACTATCAGCATTCTGTTAAGTCTCTTTTCCGCTTCAAAGGCCCAAGAGCTAGGCTTGGATCATCATTTTCCAAACGGTATAATAAATTACATGTGTATAGTGACTTACAGTTATAAACCATTTTTACATACATTAACGAATTTGAGTCTCATGCAAACCCAGCGAAGGAAGCAGGACAGTTGTCATTATCCAGGTTTTATAGATGAGGAAACTGAGGCCTGAAGAAGTTAAGTGGCTTGCCCAAGGTCACACAGCCTAGGATTTTAGGATTTATTTCAAAATGTTTTTTTATGAACTCCCTTGAGATACTCTAGGCATGGTAAGTAGTGTTTCCTTGAAATAACATAGGATAAGGTGCAGAATCTTGGACCTTTCTAAAGGCAGTGTGAATCCTTGGATCCTGTGTTAACAGCTCTGAGAATCCTCAGCCCATAATGTTCAGACAGAGCTGGCCTCTTCTTAGGAACAAGATATGTTTAAACAGTATTACTGGTTTGCTGCATTTAGTAATTCTTAGACGCAAACCTTTAGGTACAGATTCTGTTCTTATTCCAACCTCATCATTTCTTCTTTCTCTCCAAACTTACTCCTGTTCACTAACAGTACCACGATCCACATTGTTGCCCAAGCCACAAAACTGTGAGTCTTACATCTGGTCACCAAGGCCACGCTTTCTCCTCTTAACACCCCCAGAATAGTTTTACTTGTGCTGTTTCACCTGGGCCATTACAGCTGTCTCTAGGGCCTCCTGCTCCATCTCCTTTCAGTCTATCTTCTACATCATTTTTGTAGTGATTGTTCCAAAATGTATTTATTATTATGTCACTCACTTGCTTAAAATCTTTCAGTGGCTCTGGGCTGTCTTCATTCTAAACTTTTTATTTAGCAGAGCATACAAACATTTTCATATATCTGCCCAGTGAACCGGGAGATGTACTCAGTCACTCTTCCATCTTTGCCTGTAGTCCAGCCAAACCAAACTATGTGCAGGTCTCAGAGCATAATGTATTTTTTGCTATTCCAAGACCTTGTATTTATAATTAGAATGCTACTTCCTTATCCTATTTGTTTGACTCTCTTCTATTATTCCATATAACCTCAATATATTTTGTGATCACCAAAGTTATGGATGCTACAGTTTCCATTATTGGGTGAAATAAATTCCTGAAAGGTTGTTGGCAGGCACAGTCTCAAAATATCACCCCACTGATTAATTTCAAAGGAAAATATATCTTTACAGTAAAGAAACCTAGTAGATACTACCTAATCCAAGTGATCGAATTTTACATCATTAATATGCAATAAGCTGCTATCATACAGCTCCTGATATGATCCACCAAGAAGGCACAACATAACCTATGAATATTCACACCAAAATTGTTTAACCTAAATATAATAGAGGAAGAACAACTAAGTCCAAATTTAGAGATTTTCTGCAAAACAAATGGCTTCAATTCTTTAAAAAAAACCCATGTCAAAAACAGAGAGAATTATTTCAGACTGAGAGATTAAAGAAATATGAGAACTAAATGCAATGGTGTAATACCTGACAGGATCTTGGATTTAAAAATAAAAAAGCTACAGGTAATTCCCTGGCAGTCCAATGGTTAGGACTCTGCACTTTAAGCCACATGGCATGGCTAAAAATTTTAAAAATCTACAATATTATTGAAACAATTTGAGAAATTTGAATATGCAATATATTAGGTAATGGTATTTTTATCAATGTTAAATTTACTAAGTGTGATAATTATGTTTATGTAGAAGAATGCCCATTTTCTTAGGCAATATATGCTAAAGAATGTAGGGTAAAATGTCTTACTGACTGCAGCTTACTCTCGAATGGTTCAGAAAAAAAATGTATGAATACATGTATGTATATATGGATGCCATATATGTATGGATCTATCTATCTCCAGAGAGAGGTAGAGAGAGAAAGCAAATATAGTAAACTGTGAATAATAGGTGAATCTAAGTGAAGGGCATATGGGTGCTTATTGTACTTACTATTTTATAGCAAGTAAACCTAAACATTGGACTCCCTGTTGGCGCAGTGGCAAGAATCCACCTGCCAATACAGGGGACACAGGTTCGAGTCCAGGTCCAGGAAGATCTCATATGCTGCGGAGCAGCTAAGCATATGCACCACAACTACTGAGCCTGTGCTCTGGAGCCCGTGAGCCACAACTGCAGAGCCTGCATGCCCTAACTACTGAAGCCTGAGCACCTAGAGCCCATGCTGTGCAAGAAGAGAAGCCACCACGATAAGCCCAAGTACCAAAACAAAGAGTAGCACCTGTTCACCACAGGTAGAGAAAGCCCACGGGCAGCAACAAGGACCCAGTGCAGCCAAAAATAAATTAAAAATTTATGAAAAATAAAAGTCGGAAGGGAAAACAGCATTTAAAATCAGCCTTTGGAAATACTATCACAGTCTACCTTTTAGGCTGTGTGAGGACTCCTATCCTTCATACTCTCATAGGACTCCATGCATTTCTTTATCATATTCTATTGTCTGTCTTCTTGTTAGAGTATTAAAGGAAATATCCATTTCTCCAGTCTGTCATTTATTACTTGTGTGATCTTGGGCAAATTAGGTTCTCTAAGTGTCAATTTTTATATTTCAAAAATGGAGATCAACATAGTACCAACCTATAGGGCTGCTGTGAGGATTAAATGAGATAATGTGCGTAACTCATTTAGCACTGTGCTTGTCTTATATTGAGTCCTCAAAAAGGTAGGGTGTTATTATTACTATTAGTATTACTATTAGGTCTTTAGTCTCAGTATTCTCATGCCAGTATAATGCTTGGCTCATAACAGATGCTCAGTTGTTTGTTGGATGAATGAATGAATGATGCCCTGCCCTCTATTACCATTTTGTTGTTGCTATTGGGCATCAAGTAAAAAGAATTGGTACCATAGGGAATGATAAAAATGGTTAATGCCAAGGAGAATTACAGCCTGAAAATTACAGACCAGTAGATCTTGGACTTCTGTGGGGGAAAGGCAGAAATCTAATCTCAGATTCTGTGGACTTGCTTAATGTAAACATAGAGGTAGCTATACTATTAGCCTATGTGAACAGTCCTTATTCTTTGCCTTGGCTGTTACTGCCCACCTCCCAGCCTGGGAACATACCTGTGTTTAGGCTTCAGGCCAAACATTTCATGATCAAACCTTTGGTTCATCTTTTTTTCCAAAAATATATTTGCTAATGATTGACCACAAATCTTCTTCATAAAATATTTAAATCGAGAAGTCAACAGCACATCAAAAGGATATCCATAGTCTCCGACACGATTGAAGATCCAAGCCCCTCTTCTGGTGCTGAGGAAAACCTGAGGCATGGGGAAAAAATGTTTGTTTTTGCCATTCTCTGACTCATTTCTCTGAAGGAATGGGAACCCAGTTTCTTCAAGATGAAGTTCAGACTCATTAGTCTGGGTTTTTATTCCCTGGCAATATATATATTTTGAAATTTCCTGCCATTTTCTTCTCAAACACTAAGCTTACAATTAACTTGGTGTGTCTTGCTCTGAACTACCAGTGCATTTCTGTTTAATGTCATTATGCCTCCCTGAAAAGCTCCCTATCCCCTTCATTCTCCAAAGCCTATTCATTTTTACGACCCAGATCAAGTCTCCCTCCTCCATGAAGATACCACTGACTGTTCTGGATGATAATTTTCTCTACATCTTCTGAACTTCTCTAGCACTTGTCACCTGTCCAACTCATTTAAAATCGTGGAACAGTAAAGCTGAAAGCAACTGGACATCATTAAATCCAAAACTTTCAGTCTTTATTTTGCCTTTGACATTGTTTACATTATTACAAAAAACTTATTTATATTGACAGTTAACATTATATATTCTTATTTTTTATCTTTCCAAATGTGTTTTCTCCAAGGTGGGAGGTAGAGCATATACATCCTTTAGTCCCCAACCTATCATCAGCATCACTTCCTTTTATTGAGAATTGTAACTTGTAAGTTGCTGTACTAGGTCCTTTATCTATATTTTTATTTAATTAATACAACAGCCTCTTGAGGTAGGTATTGTTATGTCCTTTTTATGGGTGAGAAGAATGGAGAGGATGAATAACTTGCCTGAGGTCATATAGCACTAAGTGGTAGAGCTGAATTTCTGACCTAAGTCTGACTGACTCCAAAGCCTGTGCTTAAATAATGTTTCATCGATTATTTAAGGGAAAAACTGAAGATTGCAAGTAGCACAAAGGGAGCTGGTCCATCTTTCTGTTATCTGCTGGCTAAAGTCCACATTCAGAGCTGATAAAAGTTTGGTATTCAACTACCTGGCAAAAGCATCACTTTCTCTATATTATAAAACTCTCTGGAGACAGTGTCCTGGGTTGTAAGCTATGTAAGTACATTGTTTTATGGTGTTTTGTCTAACCCTTCATGTTGAAAGGTGACCTGTCTATAGAGGGCTAATCATGTACTTCATACATATATTCTCACTGATGGTGACCATAACCGCTATCATAAATAAGCACTTTTACATGTCACAATTGAAAGAGCCTGTGTGGTCTTAGTAATCAAATGGTTTTGTGTGCAGTTTATATAACTTTTTAAATATAGGTTATGAGTAATGTAAATGCTCAGAGTTTCAGTTAAAAAGTTCTCTATGTATAAAATAGTGACAAAAATACATACGTCACAAAGCTTTCTCAGACACAACCACCTTACCTCCACCCGCTCTTGCTGCCTTGTACTTTGGCAATTTACAATTCCTCAGTGCTTGTAAGGCCCAGCTCCTCTATAACTGACTATTTAACAAGCCAATGGTATTAAAGAAAGCTCATGCCTTTGGTCCCCACCACATACCTTGTACATTCTTTTATCATAGCACCCATACCCTTTATTGTTTATATACCTATTTCCTAAAAAATGCTTGTTGAATTAATTCATGGAGTAATATATGAACTCAGTTTTGTGGGGATAGATGGGGATAGACCTGGGAAGTGTTATTGAATGGAGTTTGTGGGTAAAGTTCATTTAACAAAGTTGTGGCATTAAACTTGTATTTTTTAAAATAATTTAAAAACAATTTGTGGAGAAGCACAACTTAATTAAAGTTACTGAAGAACAACCAGGTATTTACCTATTACCAACAAAATTATGATTCAATAAAGACATGCATAACAAAATATATTAATGATGTCTGTTTCTAGGAATTTATAATGACGATACTTTTTTCCCAGTTCAAAAGCTATGATACAGGGCTTCCCTGGTGGCCCAGTGTTTAAGAATCCGCCTGCCAATGCAGGGGACACGGGTTCGAGCCCTGGTCCAGGAATATCCCACATGCCACGGAGCAACTAAGCCCGTGGGCCACAACTACTGAGCCCACATGCCAAAACTACTGAAGCCCACGCGGCTAGAGCCCGTGATCCGCAACAAGAGAAGACACTGAAATGAGAAGCCTCCACACTGCAACGAAGAGTAGCCCCCGCTCACTGCAACTAGAGAGAAAGCCCGTGCGCAGGAACAAAGACCCAACGCAGCCAAAATAAATAAATAAATAAATAAATAAATAAATAAATAAATAAATAAATACTAAAATAAATAAATTTATTTTTTTTAAAAAGCTATGATACAAAAAACAAAACAAGGAAACCAAAAAACGTCAAGGACATACATAGGAATTGCTTTAGAGTAAATGTTATTCTGTGTTACCTAATTGTATGCCAAGGCTGGGGAGAGCTGCTTGCATTTGCTACAGTGTGGATGCTTTTCATACTGATATCCATGTTGCCTTTAGAAGGATTAGACTGCTTCTGTTTTCCATTTGGGGAGTAAAGAAGAATGAAGAGGAAAATTCCCCAAACATCCTATGAGTTAAAAGCTTTCAGTGACTGAGTACACTTTCCTTCAGATAAGAGCATAGCACTTCTGCTGGCCAACAGGTGATCCACACTCTGAATGCTGCATTCTAACAAGCTCTCCCAGCAATCACTTGGTCTTCTTAAAAGCCAGAGGCACACTCTGAAGAGACAGCTGAGTGAGATTATGAGCACAGTTTGTGATCATGACCAAATTCCTTAGTGTGAGGCCAAGTGAATGACGGGAATCTAACTTGTAACCTTGGCTCCATCACATCATCAGTCAAAATGTTGCCAACTGAGGCAGTGAAACCAAGCCCTGCATTTGCCATTGGCACTGATGGGCTGTGTGCAGCTATCCATACACTCTGCTGGGTCCACCTGCAGCTTCCTTGGTGAAGCAAAGTAAATAATTTACTAATTCAAACCTGCTTGGCTGTGTGGCTAACTTCCACAGCCAGATCGCTTCCAGAATTCCCAATGCCAATTATAATGACTCTCTTTCCAGTGAAGCTCTCTGGATTCTTATAATCTCGACTATGGAAGTACTGTCCTTTGAACTTCTCAATTCCTGCAAGAGAAGGGGAAATTATTACTGGGTGATGGCTTATTTGATATCATTTGTTAAATCATTCACTTTTTTGCAGTGTGTAGAGTTTATGCATATATTCTCTGTATGTTCTCCTTTTACTCAGGTGCATTCTTGCCTTTCTGAATATTTTTGCCTGTTTTCTTTTCCCATAGCCTCAGAGTGGAACCTTGTGATTTCCTTATTATAAGTAGTCTGCTTAATTCAGGATCTGTTAGTATTTTAGACCTGTGGACTCACAAATCCAAACTGCTTCAGAAAACCTCCATTCTCTTTTGTCTTTTCATCCTGTTTATTTTTTTTTAATTGAAGTATAGTTGACATAATATTATATCAGTTTCTGATGTACAACATAGTAACTTGATATTTATATAGATTATGCAGCATACAAAGTTATTACAATATTACAGTCTTTTGATTATATCCCTTGTGCTGTATATTACAACCCTGTGACTGATTTATAACTGGTAGCATGTATCTCTTAATCCCTTTCACCTATTTTGCCCATCCCCCACCCCCTCTTTTCATCATCTATAAATACCTACTTCCATTCCAATTGGAGTATATATGTTCTTATATACTCTAAACTATACATAGAGTGCTTTTTTCCTCTCAGAATGAAAATCCAGGCCAAAGACTGTAGTTAAGCTCTTTCTTTAAGCTTTATTTTCTTCCTTAGAAACTCAATATTTCTGTTTATTTCCTCGATTGCTAAAAAAGCCCTCATTCAGGTTAAAGAAGATGTGGTAAATATATACAATGGAATATTACTAAGCCATAAAAAAGAATGAAATAATGTCATTTGCAGCAACACGGGTGAACCTAGAGATTGTCATACTGAGTGAAGTAAGTCAGAGAAAGACAAATATCATATGATATCGCTTATATGTGGAATCTTAAAAAATTGGTACAAATGAACTTATTTAAAAAACAGAAATAGACTCACAGATGTAGAAAACAAACTTATGGTTACCAGGGGGGAAATGTGTGGGGGAGGGATTAACTGGTAGACTGGGATTGACATATACACACTACTATATATAAAATAGGTAACCAATAAATACCTACTGTATAGCACAGGAAACGCTTCTCAGTACTCTGTAATGACCTATATGAGAAGAGAATCTAAAAACGAGTGGATATATTTATATGAATAACTGACTCACTTTGCTGTACAGCAGAAACTAACACAACATTATAAATCAACTATACTCCAATAAAAATTAAAAAAGAAAAAATCCCTCATTCAATCTAATGCAGATCAACTTTTATCCTTAAAAAACTAAAATTATTGTAAAACTAAATATAGAGCCTTCTAATTTTCCTCTAGCCCCCAAATTACTGGTATCTCTACCTCCTAAATAGCGTTAATACAGTTACCCCATCACCTTTCAGAAGAATATGCAGAATTAGGATAAGCCTTATTTAATCCCAAGGTAGGGATCACTCAGGCAACATTCCTCCCATTCTTTAGGGATCAGGTCACAGGCATAGTCCAAGTGTCTTCCTTCCTTGTAGGCTACTTACCAGGGAAGCTTTCCAAGGGTAAGTGAGCATTGGTGTGATGGCCAGTGCAAACCATAACTCCATCGAAGACATTCACCTCCTTCTTCCCTTCAGATTCCGTGACCACCTCCCATTGGCCTGAAGTGGAGAAATCAGGCTGCTTCTTCACACTGCACACGGTGGTCTGAAAAGAAAAGGGGTAGCCACAGGGCACTATAACCACAGCCTATATAGTGGACATCTTCCCTGACAGGACTCTCCTGGCAGAGGGTAAACAAAGGGCTGATACCACATAAGAGGCCTCATGCAGGGGTATTTGATTTTCATACTCCACAAATCAGAACTTTTTTGTTTGGGGTGTGGTCAGAGTGAGAAAACTTCCATGAGGCAAGCTAAATAAAACAGAGTTGGCAGACTAATGTTGCACTCTCCACTGCTTCTAGAAAAGTGTAAATTACTAGTTCTCTTGGACCATACCTAGGGCAATGTGATACTTGAGTAAAGTTTGGGCTTCTCTTGTGCTTCTGAGACACTCCATGCACTAAATGCCTATTCCTCCCCATACCCCCAGACATCCTGAGACCCTCTGATGCCTTCTTACCTCAAGTCCTGTTCTCACTGTCTGGCCTTAAATTTGTGACTGAGCCAGAGGGCTCCCTTTCCTAATAGAGTAGAAAAACATCTCAGTGGCTCATATTTTACGTAAATGAACCTCTCTTTGACTCCCATAAATGCCCATTTTACAAGTAACTATAAAGAAAGAAGGTGTGAGGTGGGATAGTCAGTGGCACAATTTTTAGCTTTAAAAAATAATGATAAATATAGGTTACTCTACCCAGGTTAAGGAAACATTAAGAATGTGTTCTATGTGCTTCTGGGTTTATGACCCTAATGTCTTGGTTGACTAATAGAGATACCGCTCTTGTATACCCGAGCCATTCTATACTGTTTATTGTTCTTCTTGATCATGTTCTTACTTTTACACAGGCTGATGCTTCTGCCTGGATCATCCTTTTATTCTTTCTTCATTTGGAGATACTCACCCTTCAACATTTAGCTTGGGATTATCTCCTCTAAGAAAATTTCCCCGGTCCATGATGCCTCATGCCCTGATGGGCTGTGTCCCTCCTCTGAGCAGCAATGTATAGATTTCAGTGGCATTTATCACTAACTCTTCATTTTTATAATTATGTTTACAATGAAATTTCTCTTCATTTTTCTATCTCTATAACTAGACTGTGAAGTCACTAATTTTTTTTGTTTTTGTGTCTTCACTGTTTAGTATGGTAACAAACCTGTTCAATAAGCATTGAAAGAAGTGAAGAGAAGGACCACTAGGCTGTAAATGACTGACTTTGGAAGTCGTCACTGGATATTGCCATTTTAATTTTGTCGTTAAAGAGAAAGAGTCATGATTTAGTAGAATGATCAGAAGGTAGAAGATTGGGGCTTTTTACCAGCTGTCAGAAGTATTGATTCTCTTATGGTCATGGTTTAGGATGATAGGAATATCACAGAAGACTTTAGAGCAGGAAGGAACCAGGGAAGTGATCTAGTACAATAATCTTGTTTTACAAATAAACTTAAGACACATCGGCGTTGAGGAACTTACTTGTCTGAAGTCACAAGTTGATTAGTGGTAGAGCAAAGACTAGAACTCAAGTTTTTGCTTCCCAATTCAGTGTTCCTCCCTCTACACCAGAGTTAACTTACTTGTTCCCTCATAACTCTTCAAAACCTACTTCACTGGGTTGTTGTGGTCACATAAATAATGCACTGGAAAATACTTCAGAAAGTATAAAAGGGCTAAGCAGCAAGTTGTGGAAACAGAAGGTTTTAAAGTTCCCATACCTGGCAGTTCCCCTCATTGTTTTATTGTAATCAAATGCTATAGAATGAAGGCAATGAAATGAAGGTGGCTTCCTGGATCTGCAGTCAAAATACATAGAAGAGGGACCTTTCCATGAATATTTTGAGACACAGAGAAGACACAGAGTGGAGTCTGGATAGGATAGATACATGAGCATATCAAACCAATCTAAGCACTGGTAAATAAGACGAGTTATTCATTTACTTGACAAACAACTCAGAACACAGAGATACCCACGAAATTCCCTACCTTAAATCGAATGTACTTTAGAAGGTCAAATTCATTGGCATACATCCTGAAATACTCCAGGACCTGGGAGTTGTGCATGAAGTTAGGATAGTGATTTGGGACGGGATAGTCACTGAAGCACATCATCTCCTTAGAAGTGTTGATGACCACTGACTTGTAAATACTGGCCCTTCCTTCTTCAGGTTCTTCCTGCAGTAAATAAAAAGCATTCATAGCAACTTGAGAATTAAGGTCATGGTTTATAAACAGCCAACAAACATTTGAAAATGTTTTCTGAAAGAAATGCCAATTAAAAAAAGTCCCGGGCTTCCCTGGTGGCGCAATGGTTGAGAGTCCGCCTGCCGATGCAGGGGACACGGGTTCGTGCCCCGGTCCGGGTAGATCCACATGCCGTGGAGCAGCTGGGCCCGTGAGCCATGGCCTCTGGGCCTGCGTGTCCGGAGCCTGTGCTCCGCAATGGGAGAGACCACAACAGTGAGAGACCCACGTACAGCAAAAAAGAAAAAGGAAAACGTCCCCTCCCCACAACCCTTCACATCTCCCAGTATTTGTGCCCTCGTGCAGTCTCTTCCCCTTGAATCTAAGCTGTCTTTATGGCTTGCTTTTGACCAATAGCATACAGTTGGGATGATACTGAATGGCTTCCAAGACTAAGTGATAAGTAGTCTTCCAGTTTCTGCCTGAGTCTCTTAGAAAGCTTGCTCTGGTGGAAGTCAGCAGCCACATAAGAAGTCCAGCTACCCTGAGACCATCATCCTCTGAGGAAGGCTGAGCTAGCCACATGAAGAGCATGTTTGGGATAGAGAGATGTGCAGCCAGCCCCCAGAAGGTCTAGTTATCCCAGCTGACGTTCTAAATATGTGAGCAGGGAGGTCATAGCACACGTCCAGTCCCAGCTGTCACCTGATTGCCATGACATAAGACTCCAAGGTAGAAATGTCCATCTGAGTAATAGTCTTTTAAATAGTATATATGTTTCAAAGCCTAGGGAAGTTTCAAGAGTTTCATACACTTGCCACATTGTTCTCCAGGAAACACTGTACTAACTTACATCCTATCCACTATGTGTTCCCATTTTACCTCGTTTTTACTAATTACAAAGACAATTACTCAGTGTTAGCAAAAATGAGGTGAAATGAGATCTTAGTACAATATTTTCTGGACAGCAATGTGGCAAGAATATGAAACCCTTGCAACTTAGCCTTTTAAAGAAAGATTCAGCATTGTAGACAAAGATTTTGTTTAAGGATGTTAATGACAGCATTATTTATAACATAAAAATGAAATAAGCTAAATGCTGCAATATTGTGATTTATAAGAAATATATATTTGGTTATCCAGATGGTCAAAATATATTCTCATATATGGTCTTTTTCCACAGTTCCTGGCTCAGAGCTCCCAATACTCTCCTAATTTCCTAACTGTTGAGAGTGATAAGAAGTGTCTTTTGTTATGTTAATATGGTGACCTTTAGAAAGCAACTAAGGTTGTGGGCTGGTTACCAATGGAGCAAACACTGTGATTAGAGGGTTGTAACTTTCAGTTGCCTATCCCCTGACCTCTGGGGAGGCGACAGGGGCTGGAAGTTGAATCAATAGCCAATGCCCAGTGATTTCATCAATCATGCCTATGTCATAAAGCCTCCATAAAAACCCAAAAGCCTGGGGTTCAGGGAGCTCCCAGGATGGTGAACCAAAGAGACTAGGGGAGAGCGGTGTGCCTGGAGAGGGCATGGAAGCTCATTGTCCTTTTCCCTATGTATCTCTTTCATTTGCCTGTTCCTAAATTATATTCTTTTATAACAAACCAGTTACCTAGTGAGTAAATGGGTTTCCTGTATTCTGGAGCTGCTCTAGCAAATTAATCAAACCCAGTGGGGGAGGGGTTCATGGGAATTTCTGATTTGTAGTCAGTTGGTCAGAAGTATAGTTAACAACCTGGACTTGAGAATGGCAACTGAAGTCCAAATCCAAGGAGGGGGTCGTTGGAACCTCCAATCTGTAGGTGGTTGTTCAGAAGCCCAGGTAATAACCAGGGCTTATGACTGGAATCTGAAGTGGAGTCGAGGGTGCAGTCTTGTAGGACTGAGCCCTCAATCTGTGGAATCTGATGCTGTCTCTGGGTAGATAGGGATCACAACTGAGTTGAATTCTTGCACATCCTGCTAGTGTTTGAGAATTGTTTGCTGGTGTCTGGGGACCACCCGCCACCCACATACACACACTGGAATTGGTCTCAGAACCATTTAATGCCCAACAAAATTCACTGCAATTTTGAGAACCACTTCTCCAGATCCTTGCTACCTAAAGTAGGATCTGTGGACTAGCAGCAGGGGCATCACTTGGAAGATTGTTAGAAATGCAGAATCTTAGGCCCCATCCCAGACCTACTGAATCGGAATCTGCCTTTTAACAAGATCCTCAAGTGTTTCAGATGCATCTGAAAGCAGAGAAGCATTGCTCTAGCTGATATCAAACCCCAGTTCACTGTTCTTTCCCCATCAAGGTTATCTTCTTTGCTTCCTCAAAAACTTCTAATAACTACCTCATGGGGGTGTTATAGTGATCACATAAAATCACGCCATAGCTACCCAGATTGTTATGTTAGCCTCTCACTGAGATATCATAAATGATGACTTTTCAACTCTACTAGAATTTTTAAAAATTGTTTTGATTATGGAAAATTACCTTAACCAATTTGGACCCCCCTCTTCTCTTTTTATTCCAGAAAAAGATATATGGATGTTACTGAACATTAAATGGCCACAAAGGAGAGTGTTCACTGGCTTTGCCCACATTAGAGATGATTCTCCTCCCATTTTTAGAGAAGAATTTTTCAGTTTCAGAATCCTGAATTGATCATTCCCATTTCTCTGCCCCATACTTCAAGATCTCATTCCCTTTGGCTGCTAATAATGTTTCCACAGGTCTCTTCTAATCTATCCTACCTATTTCAACCAAAGTGTTCTTTCTAGTGTCTGGTTGTATCTCTGCCCTAATTAAAATTTTAGATGCTGCCCCATTTTCTCTAGTTTATATTTTTCAGCTTAGGATTCAAAGACCTCCATAATGTCTTGGAGTCTATTCTTTATCTCCCCGGCTAGATTGTAAGCCCCTTGACTTGTATTCATGATCTTTCCCACAGCATATAAAATTATAAATAGCACTTAGTAGGTATTTAATAGATGTACATTGAATTATACTGAAAAAGGTACATATAGAAAAAGGAAATAAATTTCACAAAATGCATAACAAACTAATGAAATACATAAAAATTTATTGCAAAAACAGTTGAATAAGATATTTTTATCTTATTCACAAAAATTTGCTGTGAGGAAAATTGCAAAATAATATAAAATCAAATGCATAGATATATTCATTTTATAGTATTTAAAATAGCTATTAATTAGAAACCACTTAAAATTACTCCCTCTCCCATTAGGAAAAAGGTTTAGTAAATTACGGTATCTCAATATGATGCAGAATTTAGGTTTCACACCAGTCCTTAAGTATCCTGCTAAACTCAAAGCAGATCCTGTCACCCCACTGCTTAATGGCTTCAACTGATTCTATTTAGAAAACCAAATTTCTTATTTTGAAACTCAGCATATTTCACAATCTATCCCAATCTATCTTTTTATCTTCATTTAGTGCTCTCCTCAGTTAATTTCAAGCTTCTGAGTCATTAAATTGTTGTTGAAACATTCCAGACTCTTTCACAACTTTAAACTTTGGTAACAGTACAGTACTGCTTCTTCATTTGGAAAATTCCTGTCTATAATTCAAGAGTCACATCAAATGTCATTTCTTTGATGAAGTATTTCTTGCTCTCTCCACTGAGTCAAATGCCACATTCAATCTCCAAGCTGCCAAAACCCTCTGCTCAGATTGCCATCAAGGCAAATTAGAACACACAATATTCTGCATTTGTTTCTATGACTGTGAGGTACCCAAAAATAGGATTTGTGTCTAATTTTTTGCATCTCTGTCATCAAAACAGTACCTCATATATAGTGGATGCTTAATAAATGCTTTGAAATGAATTAATGAGTGAATTATAGAGATTGAATTTGGAGATACTTAAAACTATGATTTTGAAATCTGTAGAGGAACACTGAAAATGGCCTATGATATAACTTTAAGTGGAAAAAGTAATATGATAAAATTAAGGTCACATTCTAATCACCAAATATATAATATTATGTATGCCTAGGGCAATTGTATACCTATGTCTATCCATGTCTATATAATTATACATTGTATAATCTCTCCCCTGTTATATGAGTATATTTTATTTATTTTAAATCAATAAAACTTCAAAGTAGGAAAAACAAATTGATTTATTAAGGAGGTAGGATTTTTTCTTTTATTTTTGTAGAAATGTTTATACTACACCTTGATGATAAAAAACTTCAACAAACTAGGAATAGAGGGAAACATCTTCAATTTAATAATGAACATCTACAAAATACCTGCAGCTAACAGCATACTTAATACTGAGAAAATGGACAATTTCCCTACCATAAAATTGAGAACAAGGCAAGGATATCCTCTCTTACAACTTCTGTTCAACACTGCACTAGAAATCCTAACTAATGTAATAAGATAAGAAATGGAAATAAAAGTATACAGATTGGGAAGCAATAAATAAAATGATTTTTCTTCACAGATGATATGACTGTCTGTGTAGAAAATCTCAAAGATTTAAAAATAAAAATTCCTGGAACTAATAAGCAATTATAGCATGGTTGCAAGATATAAGGTTAATATACTAAAGTCACTTACTTTCCTATATACCAGAAATGAAAAATTGGACTTTGAAATTAAAAAACCAGTACCATTTATAATAACACTCCCCCCAAATTAAGTGCTTAGGTAAAAATCTAACAAAATGTGTATGAGACTTATATGTAGATACCATAAAACACAGAAGAAGAAAATCAAAGATATAAATAAATGGAAAGATACGCTGTGCTCATAGATTGGAAGACTCAGTATTGTTAAGATGTCAGTTTTCCCAACTTGATCTGTAGATTCGACACAGTCCCAATCAACATCCCAGCTAGCTATTTTGTAGATATTGACAAACTGATTCTAAAATTTATGTGGAAAAAAAAAGGCCTAGAATAGCCAACTTTATCCTTAAGTGTGGACTGTGACTAGTGACTTTCTTGCAAAGAGTATAGTATG